GGTCTAAAACCCTTTGAAGTTATTCTTGGTTGTGAACCTTTGAAACCTCTAGACCTTATTCCCATGCACCCACATGCTTGTGTTTTTATATCAGTTGAGGTAGTTGTATCACATTTTCATAGCTTGCATATTGAGATCAATAAACAATTTGAAGCAAGTAAAGCATTATATAAATCTCAAGTTGATTGGCATAAACAACACTTTGAATTTAATATTGAGGATTATGTTATATTGCAAGCGTGTATTACTGGTCTTTTTAAAATTTCAAAGCATGTTGATCAAAATGCCTATGTCAATGATCTTTTATCACATTATGACCATCACCCTATTTTATTTGTTAAGGACTTCGATACTTACAATGGCTATTTTAACACTTTTATTGATCCTTTTCTATCTCTACCTAAGAACTCCCACACCGAATCTTTTGCTATGTCTATTCGAATACCACCTGTCGTAGCTCACAAAGATAAAATTGATGTAATTTTAGATGAGCAGGTTGTGTTAACCATTGATGGAGAGAATCGGTGCTTCTTTAATTGTTGGGTAGATCAACGTTCTTATTGTGCTCCACATTATGCGCAATCATGTGAAAATTTTGGAGATGAGTTGCAGGAGTACTTGTTATTTGGAGTCCAATGTCGGTACTTGATTGAAATGAGGGATCGTCCGCCTTGGTCGGATCATATTCTTGAAGACAAGTTGCCATTTGCATTGTTATCAACTCATATTCTTGAGGACAAGTTGTCATTTGCATTGTTATCAACCGTGCAATTCAGATATTTGGATCTTCAAAAAGATCGTCCACCGTGGTATGAGTTCATACATTGAAGATTGACGGTAGCTCTTTGTCATTTGTTCACTCGACAGAGTCGAGTTTTTCTTCCACCCCGGGAGAATTGATGCCAACATCACTTATATTATTATCGCACTATTTTACTTTTTCTAGTTATTGGGCTTGTATTATTGGTTTGGCTCAAGCCCATCACTGGTAGGGTTATACTTTTACTATTTATATGGTTTTCAATTGTAATTTCAGGAGACGATGATGAATTAGAATTGAAATATTGTTTGGCTTGCAGCTATTTTCTCCCTCCCCTCTCTTCCCCTGATTTCTTCTCCTCTTCTCCCTCCTCTCGGTTTCTCCCTCTTCCCTTCTTTGTTGTTTTCTGCCTCCTCTGCTCTTCTTCTGGTGCTGCAATTTTTCTGCTGTTTAATTACTCTGCAGGAATCCCCTTTTCATCCTGCATCACAGTGTCTCTGTCTATTTAAGGACTAAGATACATCTTTACAATCCCAATACATTAAATTTTGTTCAGCAACCAACCATACTAGGCATCACAAATTGAAACCTACTTTCATATTTTCGATAAACCACTTGATGAGAGCATCTTGAATAAACCCATCTCTAATTGATAGCATTCTTTTAGTAAGTTCTAACACAACAGTCGTTTCCAATTTGTCAATGATACACTATGATGCACCGATACGGACACGTGTGTCCAACACGATACGTGTCGGATATGTCGACTCGTGGTTTTTCAAAAAAGTACTGACACGACAAGTCGTCAACACGTTCATTAAATTTTTAAAATTCTTCATTTATATAGTTTAATTTTAATTTTATATTTATTATTGATTCTTTTTTGTTGAAATCTTTTACATATGAGTACTTATTTGTTATTTATTAAAAACTTTGAGTTAAAAATAAATAATAGTTATAGTAAGAAAGAAAAATGATTATTGTAGAGTGTCCGTAGAGTATCGATATTGACACGTATCCGACACGTGTCGGACACGGACACGCTACTCTAATTAGAGTGTCCGTGCTACATAGAATATGATTAAAAGTTTAAGCAAAACCAAGGGGGTTTTAAACCAAATATGTATCTACAGCTACCGTCATCAAAGGAAACATAACCAATAAAGAAAATAAAGCAAGAATTGAACTAAAGCAAATCCTCTATCGACTATTGACTGTCACAGCGCAAATGGATTATACATATTAAGTGGGTATAAAGCTGAAAAACCAAAGAGAAAAAATACAAAAACAAAAAAAAAAACTCCAGGTTCAAGAACAGACCCATCTTTTTCAGCATTGTCAAAGTAGACCTCCATTGGCCTTCCTTTCTGTATCACTAGTTCACTACAACAAATTTTATAAAATTATCGTTCATTTCATCAATTTTCTAGGAAAAGCTTTATAGATATGCAATAAATTACGGGAAACTGCTCCAATCCTTCCCAGTTGCATTAACAATACATGCATTCTCCACTTTTTACTTCTTTAATATCTTATTAGGGATAAACTAATTTTAGAAACCCTCTTAATCAATTTGTGGACTTGCATTTATTCCCATTGCCAATATTTGTCATTATTAAGTTCAAGAATAAGAGGCACTAAAGATATGCTTTTATTATTAATTGTATCCATGTACTTAATCTCATTCAAATAATCTCATCAAGTGTTTCCAACAACACATAACAGGTTTTGATTGCCGCACTCCCCTTTCTGAAAAGAAACGTGTTGAGAACAAGTGCAAATCAACCAGCTTCTAACTTTACTATGAGGACATGACACGTATAAAATTCAATTTGTATGTCTCAATATCAAAGTTGATATAGTTGAAACACCAGACTTGATCAAAATGGTGAACTTGTGATAAGAACAAAAATTTATTATCTGCTCAGAAACTTTAAATGGTAGTCAAAATCTAGTGAACCTAGCAAAGGCCCAAGAGAGTGACTACAAATTCATGAGGCCTTTCGATTAAAAGAAAGTCCCACGGATCATTTGTTGGCAGACCAGACATTATTAACATGCAAGACCCATTCTGCCTGACTTTCAATTATGTGTTACTATACTGAATTTTTATTAATGGCGGAAAGTGAAAACTATTAAGAAACATGATCATCAGAACTAGCATAATTGATGCCACCTCCAAAGAAGAGTAATGAAATTACCATGAGAGCAAACTTTTATTTTTTTTATTTTTTATTAATTATTATTTTTATTTTTATTTTTTTGTGAAGATTCCTATTCATTAAATCTTATAAGAGAAGTGGAAATCTATTTTTCTTGGGGAAACTACAAGAATGTTTCAATATTCAATCATGCCATAAGAAAAATTTAGTGATGAGAAATTAGGAATATAATCTGCCCAGGACTATTGCCTTGATTTTAGCAGAGGTTAGCAATGTTTTGACTGATGCATCTCAGTTTTCCTTTATTATCCTTCACATGTTGAAAATGGCGGAAAGAACCTTAGAAGTCTTGGTCCATAACATGTATTAATGGGAAAATTAGTCATGCAAACATTTGGAAATAAAAGGAAATGATAATGCCAAAATAAAAGTTGAAATTTTGAATGTGTGTGTGTGTGTGTGAAAGTTCAACGAATTGTTAACATCCTAAGTTTGAACACAAAATAAACAAATATAATCTTCAATACATAATAAGACTTAATTTTTCTAGGTAAAATGTAACAAAGAATCAATTATGTTACCAAGCTCAGATATTATGACCCGTCCCCTTGAAAGGTACCGATTCAAAGTACTTTATTCACAACCTTCATCATGTTTCAAACAATCTCTTATGAAAAAGATGCGAGAAACAGGACACAGAATGACTAGAACACATTAACCCAATTTTCATCCGCAATAATCTCAAATTCCAATAATCCAACTACCAGCATTATTGTGTATTTAATATTACACAACCACTGATCTTTCCAGGTGTTACAAGAAAAAAATACCATTTGCAAAATTCGGAAAACCACCTTAACCAGGCCCACCCCCTTGAAAGCTACCAACTCAATGCACTTTTTTCACACCCTTCAATGTATTTCAGACAACCTTTTAGTGAAAAAAGATGAGAGATCTCAAATTCCAATAATCCAACCGACAGCATTAATGTGTATTTAATATCACACAACCACCAATCTTTCCAGGCGTTACAGAATCAAATCTGCTTTTAGTCTTTGGAAAACCACCTTAACGGGTTTGAAACCAATGTAGAGAAAACCCATAACTCATCCTATTCACTCTTTCACAAAACAATTTCAAACTACTTTACATTAGAATGAGCACTCAGGTTCACGTTCTAATAAGCACTCAAGTCATAATTACCGAAACAATGCACATTGCCATTCGATACAAGGTAAACGTTACCATCTCCAATATATTGGATAAAAAGCCATCTCCAGACTATTCATTCTTTCACATGGTGACTTCAAATTATGTCAAATTCGATCACAGGATTCAATTTCCTATGCACTTTATGAGTGTTATGATATAAACCAACGTCACCAGCTATTCATTCATGATTCATGACCCGAGAGCTAACATGTATATCAAATCAAACCATGTCTACAAAATGTATAAATAATTAAGAGAAGAACACAATAATACTGAACTAAAGCTTTTGTTATTAAGCGAAAGGATTTTACAGATGTATTGGGACATGAAGGCAATAAAAACTAAAAAAATTTATTAACAGCTTCATCACATCTATATAAGAGAAGCTGTTTAAGGATCAAGGATCTCTAACCCTTGGAAGCCCATCCTTCCCCCCATTGCTGAAGTAGGCTTCCCAGACCTTTTCAAACACATGCCACGTCAGTAGGCTATCAGACCCAGCCTGGTGACACTTCCCAACAGCACGAACCACACCAAGTGACTGTGCCACCCTGTCCAATCCCCCGTGAAGCCCCCGACAAAATTTGATTAAATGCTTCACATCATAGACCCTGGAACCAAAATAGACCCTAAGCATACTAAGAAACTCAGCAAGTGTCCCCGGAAGGGCCTGCCCAGTGAGAGCCTTGATGAGATATCCAAAGTCATACCCACTGTGAAAGGTTATGTAAGTGACATTCTCGTTGCACACGAGGCCAGAGGACATCATAAGCTCTGCAAAGCGAGTGGCGCATGCGCCTAATTTGTGGGTGGCCTCAAAGTTTATGCCCTGGTGACGGAGAAGGTCAATGGAATTGGGAGCGTGATCATCACGTGCCAAGTCAAAATCACGAAAATTAAACTCCCAGATGTAGCAGTGGTTAGCCTCTCCAAGGTCAGGGAGGTTCCCCGACGAGTCTGATAAAGTGATACCCACCTGGATGAGCTTGAGCGCATCAACATTCGACTTAAGTGTCTTGTAATGGTCCATGGGATCAGAGTACGGATGCTGGTGGCGGAAGATGACGCCAGGGAACTCGGTATCCATAGAAACATAAGGGAAACGATCAATGAGACGGCGAATGAGCGCGAACTCAAATTCCAGATTGCTGGACCAAACTGAACGAATCGCAATAGGTTTTCTGGCGTATTCAAAACCCGCCACCGCCTCCGGTAACCACTGCCTAAGAGGGGGAGTGGGTGAGGACGGGGACAAGGGATAGGGTGGAGAGTCATCCACGAACGGGGTGGCAATGGCAGTTGCCATTGAAGGGATCCAGATCGAGGAATTGATAGTGACTGGAATTGGGGGGAAGGCTAGGGCTTTTATAGGTGGGGTTACTGTGTGATTTGCGCACGAAAGTGACGAAGTGAGCCGTCGGGCTGGGAAGCCCATGCTTTTTAGATGACAATTTTGCCATTGGTTCTTTACTCAAATTTCATGTAATGCCCCAGTAATATTATTATTATTATTATTATTATTATTATTATATTAAGTTTAACCTTATACAAATTTGCCCCCGTTTTTGGCCTTAATTTTGATTAAAATGGGAAAATAGTAATTTTTTTATTTTCTTGAAAAATTGATGGTTGTAAAAGAATAAAAAAATTTCGATTTATATGTAATATTATTTTATTGAAAATTGTGCGGTAGAAAATAGGAGAGAAAAAAATTTAATTTAATTTGATAAAATTTAATGGATACCAGACGGGGCTTAGATTGACTTTTTGAAATTAATCTTGAGTAGATTTTAAAAAGTCCTAATTTGTCTTCGATTTTAGATTTGTTTCTTTAATATTTTAACTATCTTGAATGGATGCAAAGAAGAAATTATGATGTAGTTTGCATTTTAATAAAGTATCCTTAAAAGCATTAAGTGTGACGAAAGAGTGAAAAGATTGAGGAATGTCACACAATCTAAATTATAACACAATATTTTAAAAAGATATGTAAAAATCAAGAAATATATATTTTACTTTACTAGAGTGAAACGCGCAATCAAGAAGTATTATTACACACAAATAAACAAATTTGTGCCGATATGCATTGAATTAAATAGATTATAGTTATAAATGTAATCTAAAAAGGCGAATTGATACTGAAGTATGCACGGATGACATATCTTCCAAAAAAAAAAAAAAAAAAACCCCACTAACATAAATTTGTACTATTTTGAAAATCGGATTCATCAACCCACACGTATTTATAGTTACAAAATAAAATGATCTGACTAACATAAATGTGAGAGCTTTTGTACTTTAGCCCCTATTTAGTAAGATTTTTTTACAACTTATTTTTTTCAAATTTATTTTTAACCATATATTTTCTTAATAAAATAATTTTTATCCATGGATTCATAATTTTTCCTACTTTTTAATCATACATTCTCCAACAAAATTACTTTCACAAAATTTTATTCTCAAAAAATTTCAAATATGCTCTTAGTGTTAGTGTGTGATTGTGGCACTAAAATAACTTTGGTACATGGCAATAAAATGTGACATACACATAAAATACCATCACACATGCTACCCAAACATGAACTAGCTCTATTTTACAGAACGCGTATCTATTTCATGTCTACTCTGCGTTCAAATAATATAATGATGATGAAAAATCTCTTTGAAAGTTGTATGCCCATCTTCATTTTTCTTCATGCCACATAGAAATATCATTTGCCCACCAAAGTACGAATTGTTCACTATTGTATACATTATTCATGCATCAATTTCACACACATACTATATATGGACATACGTTGGTCAATAATAACATGTCACATAAAGATACCTCATAAATTGTAATGCATAATGCATTTGGATAACGTGAATACTAGTCAAATTGTAACGATCTAAGATGTCAATCTCAATGATTAAATGTATAAAAGCATCATATCAGGCTACCAAATATCATACGATATTCAATATAATAGTAATCAAGTTTAAACCCTGAGAAACCAAGTTTTAGCTCTTAAAGCTATGTCCACATGTTGTGAGGTGCATTGATTTTTTTAGAGTCTAACTTCATACTCATAATTAAAAAAAAAAATAACAATTTGATTGCAAATCTAACTCAATAGAGCAGTACCTATGTATATGTATTTGCACATGATAAAAATAGACTATTATCTGTCAAATATTATTGTATTCTTGACTATGGATGACAAATGAAGAAATGTAATGAACCACTAAGTGAAGCATGAAAGAACCTCTACGCTTGGACTAACCTACATTCTACTGCTAGAACTGATCAACACATTTTTTTAACACACATTGCAAGTGACAATTTTGTCACGTAGTTTAAGCATATTATAATTTAGGGGCTTCTATGGTCGCCTTTATTATTTTGAGCAATAGTCTGCTCATCCTTGATGTTTTAAGCATATTATAATTTAGGGGCTTTCTAATCTAATCCGAATAATCAAACCAACAAATCAATGGTAATTGAAGCCTTTTCCAAATTGAAAAATATTTTTCCCCTATGAATAAGGATAAGATCGTATTGCTCAACAATAACCCATCTTTCAAGTGCACAATAAGATAAAAACTAGAGGTGGGTGTGAGTTTGATTGGAATGGGTTGAGTCAATTTTTTACCCAACCTAACATGGTTGATTTGAGCTAAAGTCAAACGAATCCGACCCATTTATGTGTTTCAACCCAATCCAATCAAGTTTTCGGTCTGGTTGGATTGGATTGGGTTGGTCGATTTAGACATTACAAATCATAAAAATATGCTCGACAGAAAAGCATATCAACCACATAAAATACATAAATAAAAGTGCTAAAGAAAGAATATAGAGGCAACTTGTACCTGTAATTAAAAATGCATTTGTTTTCAAATCAAAGCTTAACAAGAATGTGAAAGATTAGTATCAAGAGAGCTACAATGAAACTTCCACCAAACAAACAAATATTTCTTCACTTTCTATTCCCAATTCTCGATTCAATTTCTCTACAAACAAATTCACTGTAAAGAAAAACAAATTGACAAGTAAACAAAGCAATAAGCTAAACAAATTAATGAACTGTGTTATATATGCCTCTAATCTTCACACCCAAAGTGGCTGAAGTCGTTCAACATATACTCCTCTCGCTAACATTTTATATCTCCGCTCATTCAACTTAAGTGTAGCCACTACCTATTTGCTCTTTCTCATTTCATCTTGATTCCACAACCACAATGCTTTGGCCATGAACAAAAACTTGTAATTAAACATGAAGGAAAATGCATATATTATACAAATTATCATCTTATTTAAAGGAAAAATATAAGCCCTGAAATCAAGGCCCAAATTATCACATTTGTAAAATATAAATGAATAATCAACTTAAAATTTAAAGTTAAGAATTTAAGGTTAAGAGTATATGTTCGTGTAAAATCCGCAAGTGGACATGATCATTGACAAGTAATACGTGATGAATAACGTGTATCGTCCTACAAGAAATAAAATTCAATGGAGTGTACTAGTCTTTAATTAGATTCAAAATAAACAAACAGAATAAATTTGTGGTTTTTAATTATTCTAAAGTAATTTACTAAAATTTGTGTTTTGTATATATATGGGATGGGTGTTGGATTACGAATCCACCTATTATTATCTATTTTAATTCTCAATTATTATCTTGTTTGATCTTTATTTTGGGAGACATAATGCATTATGAATAGCAGATTGATAGAGAATGTATGGTTAAAATTTAAAGAAAAGTTTTGAATTTGTGTGTAATATTATTTTATTGAAAAATGTGTGGTTGAAAATGAGTTTTGAAGAAATGAATTTTTAGAAAAATGAGAATTAAACAAGAGCTATGTAACTAGTTTCGTTCTTGTATTCTTGACAATCGACAATTCTATTGTAATTAATTTTTTTCAAGACAAATTAATTCTATTATAATCACGACTCTAATATATTTCTAATCCGAATTCAAATGAATAGAAAGCATTTAATTTCACAATTATCTCAAAAATATACACGTGATAAATGTTATTACTAAAATTTATTGCACATGCATTAATCAAGCAATGTTCTAAGCCTATTGTAAGCCTTTCATCACTATAACAAGCAACCATATATTCAATTGATGATCAAATAATCAAATAATAAAATTTAGCATGGAAGATTAATCAAGAATTGTATGAATTTAAATAAGCTACTTGTCTTGAATTAAAAATAAATAAAAAATAATTTCATCTTCATCCAATACATGAAAAGAATTAGCCTAGTATAATGTTGAAATTAAGCACGTGTTTGAGCCACATTCTTGGAAAAAAATGCATTATTCATATCAAATCAAAGAGAAATGTGTGGTTAAAAAATAAAGAAAAGTTTTAGATTTGTGTTTGATATTATTTTATTGAAAAATGTGTGATTAAAATGATATCTAATCACTATTGAAAAATGTATATTTTTGAAAATAATGTGGCTCAAACAAGCCCTAAACAAATAAAAGATGAAAGATATCTTCAAAAATTGGCGGAACATAATTAATTTTCCAATTTCGTGCCCTTTTAATTTTCAACCCTGCTCCTTGTCCCGAGTTGAGGACAGGGTCTGGGACAAGGGTGCCACATGTTTTCCCCCCGTCCCCAACCCGAGATAGGTGGCTTTATTCTTCAGTTTTTCCCATAGCAACCACCGTTTTTTAAGGTTTTGTCTATTCCTTTATCAAATTTCGCATTCGCTTTATTCTTTTTTTCCTAATGCCATCGTTTTCAATGTGTATCTAAAATCAATCCCCAACTTTCTCTCTGTGTGTATATATGTAGGAGGCAGCCCTTTTGTTTTTGTGTTAATAGGATTCTAACGCAGCCCAATGTTTTGCACCGAAAGGGTCTCTTCTTGGGGAAAAATTCACAATTAATGTATTAAGTATTGACAATTCAATTCTCATGTCTAAAATTTTGAAAATGCAAAAATCAGAGTTTCATTTTTTAATTAAATATAGTTTATTAATTGAAAATAATAAGGTCACATTTACACCATTAATGGTCACAAGTTCATAATTATAAGTCACAAACTTATTTATTGGTCACGTATTATCAAATTAATTGGTCACAGATTATTTTGAGATCACAAATAAAAAATTTTATAGATCACAATTTATTTAGTTGGTCACATATGAAAAAATTTTACGTTACAATTTATCTATATTTTCGAATTTGTTTGTCACAATTATCAAATTTTAAAGTCACGGGTAATCAAATGATCGGTCACAGGGCAAATAGTTGGTCACATTACATACCATCACCTCTACTGCCACCACCGTCACTTTCCACCATCCTCACCCCGTCACCGCTGTCGACCACCATCTCACCGTCGTTACTACCATCACCGCTAGTTCTACTACCAACAATAACCACCCAGTTCCCCAACACAACCAAAACACGACCACCACCACCGCTCCAACAACTAAAAAAAACACCACCAACATCACCAATAGGCACTACCTCGATACCGCACCACCACCGCTCCATTACCACCATAGCACCAACACTGCCAGAGGTACTGCACACAATTCCAACAACACAACAGCACATACCACCACAAGTAGCAGCGCAACACATCTGCTTTACATAGAAAAAGCGGTAGCGCAGACATCAAAACCTCACCTACAAAACTATTGTCGCACTTCGGTCTGAAAAATTGTCACCAATACCATCAACACCACCACCATTGTCCACCGCCACCAACACCTCACCTACAAAACTGGTCGCCGCCACCAAGACCAACACAATTTACATTGTCCACCACCACCATCAATATCTCTGCATGGCGCACATTGGGTGGAGATCTTCACAACAGCGATGTTTCTCGGAACCTCTTGCAGATGGTGCCGCTCAGATCGTCATCGCGCTCCTTGCAGATGGTGCCACTCTCTTGCAATGGCGCCGGTCTTCTTACAGCGATGCTGGTGATAACGAGTAGTGAGAGAGAAGAGACGAATCTTAATCTAGGGTTTAGAATTAAATTGGGATGAATTGAAATAGAGTTGAATTATTTTATATAAATATTAATAATTAAATTAATACCTGGATTCTGAATAAAGAACTTTCCTACATGATTTTTGCATTTTGATCTTTAAATGCCTGAAGTCTTGCAATTTCCCCTCTTGTTTTCCTTCTTTTGCCATGTATATCTATGTAAAATTCAATTGCCACCCGTTTTAATTGAAGTCCAATTCGAGCCGTTCAGTTGTAGTCCAATTAGAGGTCCAAGTGAATATTGAATTTTTTTTTCAAAGCAAGTCTTTGTGCTGTCCATTGTTGTAGTAGAAAGTAGGAGTCTAACTATCTTCAAATTTCCAATCAATTCCAACCTTCTCATCCAATTAGGATTCCCAAAAAAATAATAATCCAATTCATTTTCAATTTCACTCGTATTGCAAGTCCAATTACAAAGCCCCACTAAGTATCAAATTCCCTTCAAGGCCCCACTCCATTTAAAATAGTGCAATTCAATCATTGAGTACAATTACTTGTGCAATCATCATCCTCTTCAAATTCTAACTTGTGAGATTTGATCCCAAAATTATAAATTTCATTCAATTTTGTCATTCTCCATTTCCAATTGCTTTAAATGAGTCCATCACTAAAAACAAAAGAAAATTAACTCAAGTTGAACTAAAAATTAATAATTTGACGACATAAAAGTTTAGTGATATGACTTGGATAAGTACACAAAACACATTTATCAATTCCAAAAGGAATAAAAGGCTGGCGATTAGCATCAAGCCTAGACACGAAACATAATTGACAATGATTTTCGTGGGTTGGTTCAATTTTTGCCCACCCATAATAAAAACTATAATTTACTAAAATACTTGAATTAATCATGATAATAAGTTTTAACAAAGCAAATTTAATCAAAGAATATCTTAACAAATCTTTTCCATTTTCAAAAACTAACAGAAATTCTATTGTGTGTCCCACAAATGTAACCAAATATTCAAATAAAGAATGTGTGGTGGAAAAGAAGAGAGAGAAAAATATATTTTGAAAAAAATGACTACCAAACGGGGCCTAAGTTATTTATACAGCCTAATCTAGCGTGCCAAACATGACCTAAGAACAGTCAGTTTAGAATATAGAATAGTATTTCTATAATGCATCATACAAAAGTTAAGATTACACAAGACTGAAATAAGATTAATACATATTAAACTCATGTTAACAATATAGTTTATCACCTTCTATGCTTCAAAGATATAATTAGATGACTTAACAAAAGCAAGGATACTATAAACACATGCACAAAATCAGGCCACTTCTTGAATCCAAGAAACTCGATTACTAATAAAAGGATTCAACAATTTACACGCAGAAGAAATCCCTTCAATCAAGCATAAACCAACAGTACAAACGTTTTCAAGAGGCCATCAGAGTCGAGAAGAAAACATTTTCGGGACGTGCCTTTCCCAATAGAACACTAGAAATAGGTTCCTTCGGGAGGCTGAACTAGCTTACGGTTTTGTGGGGCGGCCATCTCTTTCTTCAGTTGCGTCAGTATATCTTCCATCGTATACTCTCGCTGCCAATTTGTTAGAAGTACAAACTTCTTTGGTTCCACCTATACAAAGTAAAAGTTAAATGATTGTCATGCAATTCTATACGATGCATCCGTAAAGTATTCAGTCTATTTTTACCAATCCAACATCAAAGTTCCAGGTTAATAAAAACAAAAATTGTATCAACTTTACTATTAAATAAATGTCTTCGTACCAGTCCAGTTTCATGGTTGACGCAAGTCATGTTGATCCGAGAGTGGAAGCGAACACTTGGCGGCTTCTCCGGATAATCTTTGTCACAGAATAACTTCAACTGATAAATGCGACCTTCGTGTACACACTGAGGGGAAAAAAGAGACACTTGAGCTGTTTTCATCAATGAGGAGTTACATAAAGAAGCTGAAATATTAAATGATAAGCCTATTGGTTTACCATCAGATGATGCAATACCCCGCATTAAAAGAATAAAGTTTTAACTATTGCATCAAATTACATCCCATAGTCACAGTCTGATAGAAGTTTTATATTAACCCCACGCTTGATAAACATGACACAATAAAATCATATTAGATATAGTGTGGTAGAGATTTTGTTAATTGATTTTTTGACCGTAAGAGAAAAAGTAGGTCCTATCTGTGAGAGAAGAATTCAAAAATGACGACTGGAATAGTAAAATAACGATAAAAAAATTGATTTTAATTGAATTTTAGGCTGTACCAAACATGCTAATAATGAAAAATGGAGCCAGTTAACTAGAAAAAAAAAAGTATTTGTGTAACAGATGATACATACTAAATGCACTTCATCATGATCCCACTCTTTTGTCGTTCTCCAAAAAAGGATTTTTAAGAGCAATACTCCATTTTAACTTATGTAAGGGAGGGGGAAAAGCACATATCTTGAGTACAGGAAACATAAAAGGCACAATCGTACTTTGATTATAATTATCCACTTAAAAATGAAATCGATGTCTTTCCCATTAAAAATAAAAAAATAAAAAAA